GGGGGGGGGGGGGAGAGGCGTTGCAGAAATGAAGCAATCTCTCACTCTCACATGGCTATCAGAACAGTTAGCGTTATTATAGTTTTCCATCTTCTAGTCTTCTATTTCTTTTAAAAGCTTTGGTGATATTCCAAGTTTTCTTACAGTCTGAGCGAAAGTCCAACGAACCGCAAAAATCCCTGAATTTTTTGTTTTTAATTCTCCTAAGTTTTCTTTTAGAGCGAGCACACACCAATTGATATTCCTTAATATTTTGCGAATTCGGAGCCGATTTGAATCTTTGATATGCTTCTATTTTCTCTTTAACTATTGAAGAGCATTCATTATCCCACCAGCGAGAGGGAGGTCTCCTGAGTATCGTGGGAAATTCGGAGATTTTGGCTCCTGAAAAAAGGAGAGAATTTTTAATATTCGCCACCAAATCTTCATAAGCTTAAGTCACACTCGAGGAATTTTCAAGAGAAGAGGGAGAAGTCAAATGCTGAGAAGAGATCTCCAACGACCTAGAGAATGAGTTCCAGTCGACACTTTTCAAAATAAAATTAGGTCTGGATTTAATCTTACTTGGAGCAGAAGAGTTGCACGAGATGAGGATGGGGAAGTGATCGCTGCCATGATTATCTCCCCAAACTGACCAGTCTAAAATAAGAGATAAAGAGTTGGATACGATTGTAATATCCGGAGCATTGTTGAGTTCCTCACGGGGAGAAGACCAAGTCGTTGAACCGTCATTCATTACTACCAGGTTGAGATTTAAGACTGATTGAGTGATGATTTTACCAGCAAAGTTGGTAGACGAAGAGGCAGGGCTCCATGAATGGTGGTTTCCATTCAAATCTTTACAGATGATTATATCTCCAAAGGATTCCAAGAAAATAAGGACCTCGCTTAGGATTGAGCTGAACTCACCAGAAGAACACCTGGCCGCCATCGGAGGACAGTAGACCGAGAACAGAGAGACCCAACGGGGGAGCGGTGCACTTGGACACGGTGCATTTGGACACAGCCAATCACAGCACCGTGTGATTAGAGA